CATTTTTTTCCTGCGATGTCTCGTAAAAGAACCGATTGGACAGAGGCAACTGGAAAGATACAGCAACATAATAGGCCATGATTGAGTAATCAACTCACTTGTGATGTTGGAAACAGTATGTTTCATCTGGATAGCCAGTTATCATCCAGAATTTTAAAAACATAACTAAATTGGGCTGAAAATTGTAGTCGATCCTTTTCAGTCAAGGCTATTTTAACTTGCAAGCAGTGACACCAGTGATCTGAGATTCTGGTCCTCGGGTTTTATCACATAAATTAACTGTCATGGACACTATTTTTTATGTAGGTAAAGATAATAAAAGGTTAAGGTTCGTCACACTATGTCATAGAAATGGACATATCTGACAGCCCACTGCATGCCAGCTCAGACAACCCCCATGCCCACAACAATCACATCTATTATAAGTTCAGAGGAGTGGGACAGAAGGCTCTGGATTAATGGATCTCTAAAAAAGAAATTCTCTTGTCTGCAACCTGAAACTGCTCAGAAATCCAACTCACTTGGGAGCAAACTGGTTGTTTGAAACTATAGGAAGCAGAAACTAATGGTCAAAGAAATAAATGAAGTTTATTTCTCTTCCTCAGTATTCTCATAGTCCAACTCAGGAGCACAGAGTCCCAAAGTCAGTAAGCTCCACCAGCTATAGGCAAGATTTATAACCTATAGCATTCTATTCCTCTATATACTTCTTTGTCGACCCCATACCTCACAGAAGAAATATGTGGGAAGATTCTCTTGGCTATGGCCCCACGACTTCCTAGTGAAAACTTCTGTATCTTCATTTACAAACCCCATCCTCCAGGTCTGGTGACTAGCAATTACGTGTCATTTATATAAAATATGCAAAACAAGAAAACTAAAGTTAAAAAAGGAAATAGACTTTTTGAAAGTTACACATGTGAACAAATGCTCATAAAAATTTTCTTCCCAAACATTGCAGTTGATCTTCTGAAAGTTCAGGTTTCTTCGATCAGCAATCAGTAAACCTCAAATGTTAAGTGTTGGTGAAGAAAATCTAGAAATCACCTAGCTAGAAAACTTGAAAATAAAATGGACACAGTCCCTACTACAATATATAGAAACATCAACACATGAATAATCAGTCAAGAACACTTACTGAGCATATTCTGGAAAGATACTTTGACAGTTCTAAGCAGAGATGCCACAATCCCTGATCTCAAGAAATTTTTAATGTAAGAGTCTGGACCATTGCACATAGATGCAGTTATTAAATGACTCAAGGGTATAAATTTCCAAGATATAAAAGTTTGAGAAATTCAAGATGCTTAATGGTTCGATGTCAGAGAAGCAGTTACGGCTAATGTGGAAAAATCGTGAAGATGGTGAGATCTGACTGTAACTCTAAAGGAAGGGAGACACATGTGGTGAACATTAGTAGGTTGGTTAGGAAAAGGAATGAGTGGAAACTGTGAGTGACTATCAAGGTGGCATTTCAATTAGACTAAGATCTCTCTCCCCTTATTCAGGCTACCTTTGTGCCCAACCAAGGCGGTTAGGGGGCTCCTGTACACCAGCTTGGATCGGCATCAATCCAGAGAAAGGGGCTCCTTTTTCCAATTTGTCTGCCTAGAGGAGGCACCATTTGAAATTTTTCTCTCTGGAGTGGGCCCCAAAGACCCAGTATGTGATAATGGTAGTGTAGAGCTCAATCATTCATGCAGCGACCATTGCAACTGACTCAGCTAATTTCATCTGCCTCACGTTTCTCTTATTTATGCTATACTCAACTATTTGACTTACACTTCCTTGAATACTATTTTGCCATCTTTAGTAAAGAATTGATAGTGGCTGTCATGGCTCTTATATGAGATCCAGAATTTCACCAAGTTATCACTTAATTGAACCTACCACCTTCTATATTAACCCATAACTCAGAATATCTGTACCAACCTAGTTACTGGATTGTAATCACTCACACACTACGTCCTAGTCCCCCATGCATATTTTATGTTAGTCCCTGTAGCGTGTTTTGTCTCTTTTCTCTGCTCTGAATATCAACACCTCATTAGAAATTTGATGGTTCAGCTTAGCAGCCTCGTTGGTGGAAGACTAGAGAAGGACGTGAGTAACCGTATTTCTTAGCAGTGGCAAATGGTTTGTTCAAAACTAGTCTCCGGAAACTTTCTGAGAAAGCTGATTTCATTTCTTTGATCCTCATTCTTTTTATAATCAACAAGGTCAGTTGAAACAATAGTAGAGTGTCATTTAGTCAATATTAAAAGACTTCACAAACTTTTTTGGTGGAAACTACTTTTCTCATGAAAATCCAGAGGATATTAAGGGCCAAAAATAATTTTGGCCACTGTCAGTATACACACATTTTCCCCTGTTCTTTGTCCCTGTGGTCTAGACAAATTTCAAATTCAGAAAAGTTGGTCTGGAAGTACTTCAAACTGCTTCCTGGGTCCTGAGTGCAAAGAACAGGAGATATGTGTTTCTTTTCATTCAGCAAAGAAAGTCAATAATAAATTCTGTTTTGACTCATGTTTCTGCCACTTCCCCCCTCTGTTCAAAATATATCAAGACCTGGATATCTGACATATTGGCTGACATTGTGTCATCTTTTGGATGACCTCTGAGTACCTGGTACGTTTCTGAAGATGAACATAGGCAGGCAAAAGTCAGGGGGAGAGCCCGTGTGTGTGTGTATAGAATATGAGTGTCCTGAAAATCTCTCTTTGGGATCCTATAAAAGGGGTTGATGGGAGCTAACAAAAGGATGCATTGCAGTTTATAAGATTTGTGTCACAATCACCTTTCCCTTGATAGTAGAAATAAATTAAATCTGCTCCACATCTCATACCTGTCTCTCTGCTTTAATCCCTACATTGATTTTTGACCAAACAGCCCTAAGACTTGAAATAATCAAATTGCATCAGAGAAAACACAAATGATCTGTTTTTGCTTTTCACCTGATTTATTTCATATTCAATCTTTACTTGTAATTATTTTTAAAAGGAATTAAACCAGAACACACAGTCAACAGCTGTCATCTTTTGTCAATTATAACATTTTACTAATGGGCCCACTTAATAGTCTTTCAACCTGTCAAGTAAATGTCAAAAAGCCATTTTACAAGTGTTCAAAACACATGGCCACTAACAATACTGACCATTAATTCAGTCACCTTCCTTTCTGACATCATTTATAGCTTATGCACAAAGAAAAGAAACAGTTTTGTGCGAGAAACAGTCATGTTTAGACAAATGAAAAACATTTTCATTATTTAGTAATAGTTATGTAACTATACCTCCTAAAAATCTATTACTTCCATTGTCTCTATGATTTAAGACATTTATAATTACTTTTTCAATATATAATGGACAAGATCTCATTTCACATGTGTTTGAAAATGATTGTTAATGATATTTTTCTGAATAGAACATTTTCTTGCCTTGGTCTCTGCGAGAAGGTTAGTGATTATTTTTATTCTTTCTTTTTCCTGGCCAGGTTTAAAAAGCACCTCTATAATGCAACATTTTTTAAGGTGGGAAATATTCTCTCTCTATATATATATAGAGAGAGAGAGATTCAAGGAATGGATTCAATATCTAAAATGAAGAATCCCTTAATTTTTCTCCTCCAAATATCCCATCAACCATCTTTTGCATCAAGTTCTAAGAATAATCTATGTTTCACCCACAGCTCCCATTGTCATTAAGAGGCGTAAAGAAAGCTTGATGTGGTCCAAGGTGATTATGTATGAAAAACCGCTATCCCCTGGCAAATGTCCTCCTTAGCACACACAGCTGCTGAGGCTGCAGTGGTCAAGGCTGCTATAGATGCAAAGCCTTTTCTTCTTCTTTTCCAATGCAGGAAGAAACATCAGTCTGCAGCATAAGCAGAGGCTATGAAGGGACAGCCAAATCCCAGGGAGCCTTGGCTCTAAAAGTCTACACACAAGCCAAGGCACATCAACTGGCTGGGATCACACGAAAGAAAGAGAGAAAGAAATATGGAAGGAAGTGAGGAGAGAAGGGAGGGAGAGAAGAAGGGAGAGAGGAAAGGATAGAGGAAAGGAAAACTCGAGAAAGAGAGGGAGGGAGGAAGGAAGGAAAGGAGAGAGTGAGAATAAAGTGAAATAAAATTTCTGTCACTAGTAAGAATAAATTATTTTCTCTGACATGTCACTCTGCAGTGAGAAAACTTGCCCAGAGGCAGAACTAGGAGAGCCTGAGCTCGCCTTTCTCCCACTCAGTTGTAATGCGGGCCTCTATACAGACTTCTAGATAGGCCTCTCTGTATTAGCACTTCAATTAAGTGAAAAATCACTTTTTCTTACTCTCACACGGGTTTTGTGGGGCCTGAAGCTTACACAGGTTAGGGCTTCATTATGAAACAGGAGACAAATTACTAACACAAAATTAGCACTGGGCCTTGGAAGAAGCCTGCTCAGGTAAGAAGCCCTGTAGGTCAGCCTCGATAGCTTCAAAGCCAGTCTGTTTCCACTCCCGGGTCTGAAAACAACTGAGGGAATCAAAGCTCCACCTGGCAAAGTAGCAACCACATTACCAAACATTTATTCCATTCCACTCTACTCAACCCTGATTCAGCAAATACCAATCTAGCACCATCTTGTTATTGCTGAGGATATATGAGGATTGTAAAACCTAGTCACCGCCATCAAAAACTTTTAATATAATTGAAAAACTAGGAGTTCTACAGCTCAAACTTATAGGCTGTTGATGTTATGTATTCTTCAAATTCACTGAATTTTTTTTTAACTTCAGGAATGTGGCAGATCAAGAAAATGAGAAAGATCTATTATTGCTAAATCTGTGATGGATGGATTAGCAGGATAAATACTAAATACTAACATTCAATAACTGACAATTTACCTAAATTCAATCATTAAAAAATATTTTGAACAATACAGTCATGAAAAAGACAACAGAACCCAATCCACAGTGGTTGACTTTTCCATTTTTGACACTTGAAGACATCTATCACCTACTCACCATCGGTTATGGTCAATTTCATCACGAAGGTTTCATTTTCTCCTGTGCTGGCCTTGAAGCGACAGCGGTAAAGTCCCGAGTCAGAGGCCGTGACGTGGGGCAGGACGATGGAGGCCCTTCTCATTCCCTGGCTACAGTTACTCAGGATCTGTCTTCGGAACTTTGAAGTGTAACTTTTCCCTTGGGACAAGTTGCAGGTAGTTAAGAGGTCAATCTGATGGGGCTGGATCTTTTCCCACGTAACTTGTTGCAACGGCCACTTCATTTGAAGCTGACAGGTAAGTGTGACATTTTTCCCAGGTTCTGAGAGTATGTCGCTATTTGATGGCGCATCTATCTCAAAACTATCTGAAAAGAAGCAGCAAATGATTACACTTAGGTCCTCAAATTTTTGGATGAGAACATGGAAGCCATCCAGAAAGTTCTATCAAAATGATTGGTGATGTTATTTAACATAGTCTCATTGATTGTAAACAATATCTTTATACCACATTTTGGGAGGAAAAGGCTTATGAAAGAAGCAGGTACCTAAATAAGAAAGAGGAAGTGATTGTTCACATATATTCCCTTAAGTTTTACTTGGTTAACCAGATAACAAGAAACGCAATCGAAACCCCTGGTGCTTTTCTTGGCAGTGATGACATCAAGAAGCTGAATTTCACAAGACTGTTCTGCCATAATGCTGGGCTGGTGACTCACACGCTGACTTTGAGCATCAAACATCCAGACTGTAATCAGACAAACTAAGATTTTAGTGGTCATAAAACAGATATCAAATCATTTTCATTGAATACATACATAAAATCATTTTTCAAATATACAGGTTGCCTTATTCATGGTTAGAGTAGGGATCTACATGCAATATGAATTTCTGGGTACGAGAAAAATCCTCCAATATTTTCCCACTTTCACACCATGTCACTGGAATACCCAGCACAGAGCACTCAGTAAGTAATCATCACATCTCTAAATCAGTAGTTCTTACAGTGTGGGCTAAAGACCCCAGGGGGCCTCTGTATCCCTCTCTGAGATCTGCAAGATCAAAGCTATTTCAATAGTCATATTAAGACATAATTTACCTTTTATACTCTTATTCTATATGAATATACATATTTTTACAATTTCATTCTTGTCCTATAAGAATATATAGTAGATATTTTCAGAGGCTCTGATGATTAATGGGGTATATGCTTGTAAATTCTGCTCTTTTAAATTTAGCTCAGTTTTAATTTCTAAAACAGCAAATATTTATAGTTATAACTCCATAAACAAAAACTCTTTGGAGTCCTCAATAATTTCTGAGAGAATAAAGGGAAAAAAACAATTCTAAAATTCATATGAAACCACAAACAGCCAAAAATAGCCAAAATAATCTTGAAAAAGAACAAAGCTGGAGGCATCCTATTTCCTCATTTCAAACTATACTACAAGGCTACAGTAATTAAAAGAGTGTGATACTGGTATAAAGACAGAAATACAGACCAATGAAAGAGAATAGAAAGCCCAGTAATAAATCCACACATATATGACCAACTGATCTTTGACAAGGATGCCAAGAACACACAATGGTGAGAGGGTAGTCACACAGGGGTGAAACCTTGTTGGAAAAGCTGGATATCCGTGTTGCAAAAGAATGAAACTGGATCCTTGTCTTACGTCATACACAAAAATCAACTCAAAATGGATTAAAGACTTAAACGTAAGACCTGAAACTGTAAAACTCCTAGAAGAAAACACAGGGGAAGGTTTCATGGCATTGGCCTTAGCAATGATCTCTTGGATATGACACTAAAAAGCACAGACCACAAAAACAGAAAAAAAAGGCTACAAGTGGGACTACATCAAACTAAAAGTCTTCTGCACAGCAAAGGAAACAACCAACAGAGAGAAAAGGCAATCTATGGAATGGGAGAAAATATTTGCAGACCATATATCCAAATATATAAGAAATTTCTGCAACTCAATAGCAAAAGCCCTATATAAAACATGGCCAGCCTGGTGGCTTTGCCAGCCTGGTGGTAGCAGATGTTAGTCCAGGACCAGTCTTCCCCACCAAAAAGAAAAAAAATGGGGGTCTAAAGACTTGAATAGACTTTTCTGTAAAGAAGACACACAACCGCCAACAGATATATGAAAAGATGCTCAATGTCACTAATCATTACAGAAATGCAAATCAAAACCACGACAAAATAACACCTTTCACCTGTTAGGATGAGTATTATCAAAAAAAAAAAAATAGTTGTTGCTGAGGATGTGGAGAAATTGGAACCCTTATACACTGTTGGTGAGAATGTAAAATGGGGCAGCCACTATGGAAAACAGCATGAAGGTTCCTCAAAAACTAAAAATAGAACTACCATATGATGCAGCAATCCCACTTCTGGGATTCAAAAGAACTAGAGTTCCAGAAGAACTACAATCTAGATCTCAAAGAGATACCTGCACCCCTGTGTTCACCGCAGCACTATTCACAATAGCCAAGACGTGGAAGCAACCTAAATGTTCATCGATGGATGAATAGATGAAGAAAGTGTGGTATATACATACAATGGAATATTATTCAGCCTTAAAAGAAAGAAGGAAACCCTGCAATATGAGACAAGATGGATGAAGCTGGAGGACGTTATGCTAAGTGAAATAAGCCCATCACAGAAGGATAAATACTGCGTGATTTCACTCATATGAAATTTTCAGTTATGCAAGATAAATGAGTTCTAGAGATGTGCTGCACAACACGGTGCCCGTAGATAACAAGACTGTTTGTATGCTTAAAAATCTATTGTGTTTAGATCACATGTTAAATATGCTTACCACAATAAAATTAAAAAAAAAAAAAAAAGAGATCCTGAGAGCAAACAGTTTAAGAACCTGATCTAGAGAATAAATTTTAGGAATTGTTTCTTGAAATGACGATAGCCGAGAGTGGTCATGTGGTCATGTCCATCCATTTAGTAGTTATTGACACCTTTTTAAACCAATAGCTTTACTGCTGTTGACACGGAATTCTGACCCGCCATTTAAGTAGAAAAGGGAGGTAACGGTGTCACAGAGCACAGGGATACCAGCCAAGAAATGCACAAAAGGGAAAGAGCATCTGTCACAGCCTCTATCTGTGTCACAGAATTGCTCAGGGCTGGCCCCAGAGCTCCTTTCTTGACTTCCAATTTAAAAAAAAAAACAGGAAGAGAAAAGAAGAGAGGACAGGAGAGGAGGGAAACCACCCCTAAAAAAGAGAGAAATTAATTCTAAATACAGTAAGATTTGCTAGTTATATTAAACTAGAATACTATGTCAATAATAGTTTCATCTCCACCAGAAGCTAGTTTCCTTTCTTAAGCAAGTGTTTCCATGTGTTAAAATGTTGGAAAGAGAAAACCACAGCCTTCCAGTGTTTTGAGCTGTAACCATACAACTATTTAGCAGAGCTAACAGTCTACCCACAGACCCAGCAGACAGGAGACGTTTCATTTCTAAGTAATAAGCCAGCACAAGAACGGGGAAGAAAGAAGGAAAGGGAGAAAATTCATAAGAAGTGGGAAAAATAAGAAATAAAAGCTTAATGGAAACAAAGGAGAAATTAAAATTAAGACAGAAAAAGGAGGTATGAGAAAAGAGAAAGAAATGAGGAATCATATAAATAAAACCTAAATCAGATACAAGCACCCTGTGTTGGGAAAATGAAAGCACATCAAAGAAATGAAAACAAGAAAGAAACATATTTTTATGTGAGCCGTGCTGGAAATGAGAAGTAGGCTGGCCCTTGCCAGCAGCTCAGCGTTGGTCTTCATGCTGACGCGCCTGTTGGTTTTGTCTTGTTTTCCTCTGTGAGTTCTGCCTTCCTCCAATCTCAGGAGCTTCCTTTATCTGCCTGTCTAATCAAAACCTGCTCTCAGGAAGCAATCTATGCACGGTTGACTTGGGTATAAAGCGAGGTCCTCTCTTCAGAGCGTCTGCATTTGCACAAAGGACAAATCCACAAAGCAATGGAGACAATCTCCAAAGATGAACGGCCAGGTCCTGGGGTCTTGGGTGGAGCTGTCCTTGGGGGAGCAGAGCGCAGGCAGGTTGTCGCAGCACAGGCTCTATGTGAGGTCCCTGACCCACCTGTCAATGGACACAGACTGGAACTGAAAGAAGCAGTCTCCCACCCCAGAGGCAGGTGGCTCAGAAGCACAGAGCAGCCCCTGATTAATCTTTCCTGATGAACAGAAGAGCTAGTTGGTATCAGATGAAAAGCAAGATGCAGATGGGGTCTACAGAAGCTGCCTTGCCTCCTGTGTGGCTTGGTGCTGCACAGATCACCTGATCCTCCTGCACAGCCCATGTGAAGCCACACAAAACAACCCTGAAAACCATGACCAGGAAGACCCCACACGCACAAGAGGACTCCAGCATCCTGACATGCTAGGAACTGGATAGTGAATCTACTTAAAACAGGGGCCAAAATGTCCTAGTTAATTGGGAAGAGAAAGTTTGATTAGAATTTAATCCTAAAAATAGAAGCAAAAATAATAAAAACCAGTTAATTTTATATTTCTTAGTTATGCATTCATTCTTAGCATAAACATGGAATAGACTGTGTTTTGTTTTAGAGTACTTTTTTTTTTTAGTGCAGTTTTAGGTTTACAACAAAATTTAGAGGAAGATATAGAGATTTCCCATATACTTCTTGCCCCCCCCCACATGTACAGCCTCCCTTATTTTCAACATCACACACCAGAATGATATACTTTTTACCAAGGATGAACCCACATAGACACATCATAATCACCCAAAGTCCGTAGTTTACCTTAGGGTTCACTCTTCTTGTTGTACTCTCTGTTGGGTTTGGACAAATGTATAATGACATGTCTGTTATCATGTCATACAGAGTATTTTCACTGCTTTAAAAATTGTCTGTGCTCCATCTATTCATCCCCCACTCTCCTCCACCCCGGGAAGCACTGATCTTTTCCATAGTTCTGCCTTTTCCAGAATGTCACATAGCTGGAATCATACAGTAGGTAGCCTTTTGGATTGGCTTCTTTCACTTGGTAATATGCATTTAAGTCTCTCCCATGTTTCTCATGGCGTGATAGCTCATTTCTTTTTAGTGCTGAATAATATTTCATTGTCTGCATGTACCAGAGTTTATCCACTCACCTACTGAAGGACATCTTGGTTGCTTCCAAGTTTGGGCAATTAAGAACAAAGCCGCTGTAAACAACCATGTGCAGGTGGTTATTGTGTGGACAAATGTCTTCAGTTCCTTTAGGCAAATACCAACAGGTATGTTTGTTACTTTGTATGGTAGGAGTATGTTTAGTTGTATAAGATACTGCCAAACTGTTTTCCAAAGTGGCTGTACC